TGTTTCATTTATAACACAGGAATAATCATTCACTCAAAGCATTGTTTAATGACCAAATAAGTTAATATTTATACAGTGTTTAGAGTAATTCTTCACATTTAGTACACACCAATAGCTACTCTTAAAAACTGTGGTCAGGGGCTGGGGCTTTAGCTCAGTAGTTCTGCTGCCTGCCTTGCAACCACAAGGTCCTGAGTTTGATCCCTGGTACCAAAACAAACAAATACTGTGGCTGGGTGTTATAGTGCGTGCTTGTAATCCCTGTTACTCTGGAGGTTGAGGTAGGAGAATTGTAAGTGTAAGGCCAGCCTGAGGAATTTAAGGAGAGCATCCTTGTTAGGTATATAGGTAGGTATGTATCTTAGTGCTCCCTGGGTTCAAGTTCCAATACTATATTATTAAAACAAACAAACAAAAAAGCAAAAACAACAACAAAACTGTAGAAAGTTTCATCCTAGTGGAAATGTTAGATGTGAGCTATTAATAAATAGAAAGCAAATTGACCACAGAGGAAACAATAGAGCTCGCTACTGTGTTCCAATTTCATTGTTTTAATATATCTCATATTCTGATTGATGAACAAACACCACAGAATTGCCTTAATGTCTCATAGCTGTATGAGGAGAACCACATGAAATAATGCCTTTTTCTACATTAAACCTTCCTCAAACTTTTAGCCAAAATTATTCATTCTTGGTCACCTTCTGTAACATTGATTTGTGTTTTCATAATGATATTTACCACACTAAGTCTTGTGGTATAGTTAGTTGCTTATGTGCTTCTTTCTCCAAGTAGAGAAAGTCTTGGTTGAGACACTGTCTACATTTTAAAAATCATATAGTATTGTGACTTGAACATAGTACACATATAATAAATGTTTATTAAAAAGTACTCTTACAGGTATAGCTTGCCAAATAAACAGAATCATTTTTACTGGCACTGTTGTTATAACTAATACTGTACATGACTTTATTATGTATAATTACATGGGATTTTTGGCATGAGCACAAGTAGCAGTGTTGGGTGAGGTTGGAATGGTACAACTGACACAGGAATTGTTCTTATGAGTTCTGGCTTCATGTATTCTTGTTTCCCCTATGAATTATCTTCTTCCATTAATATACAACACATTAGTTGTAGCAAGTATTTTTCTAGTTTATTTGGGTCAGATGTGAAATAATTGATCACTATGGAGTCTACAAAAGCCTTCTAATTTTGCTATGTTGCTGCCACATGATAAATAAGGTTTATGGAAAGAACTAATTAGGTTCTGATCCCAATTCTGGCTACAACTTGGGGATTTATTTATTTATACATGTAGCTTTTAAAAAACATGTCAGTGTTTCTTTGCTGTGCATGAGACATCATGTGAGGCCCTGTGAGGCCACACGGGCAGTGGGAGTGACAGCATTCATCTCTGTAGTGGGTGGATGGACTGGAATCTCCACCAGGAGGCTTAAGAATCTCTCAAACACTAAAGTCTGAATCAACAGGAAAATACCATTCAGGATCCTTGATCTTAGGTTGTTTTTTTTTTTTGGTACCGAGGATCAAACTTGGGTCCTTGTGCTTGCAAGGCGGGCAGTGGAACCACTGAGCTAAATCTCCAGCCCCTGAAGTAATTGGCTGCCAGTTCTCTTTTTTTTTTGGTATGTGGGATTGAACTCAGGACCTTGCACTTGCAAGGTGGGGAGTAGAACCACTGAGCTAAATCCTCTGCCCTCCCTGATCTTAGTTTTACACTGTAGCTGAGTTTCATTTCTTAGGGCAACTGGATCTGTGATCTTGAATTAATGTAGTACTGAATGTCACCTGGATTGACTGAAAATCCACATTTAAAACATATGGGGCTTATTCTAAGGAGGAATTTTACTCTAAGGTAAAGGGTAGAGAGGAGCACGATTGGGCCACTAGAAAGTGATGAGGATCACCATCATTTTCCTAACTAAATATGGGCAAGTAACCAAATCTAACTCATCTGTAAAACTAGCACAACAATTGCTATTCCCAAATTTCCTTGGAGAATTATATTTATGTATTCAAGAAGAAACTGTACTGCTTTTAAAAAATAATTTTTTTGGTACATTTTAGGTATACAATATAATGACATTCATCATTGGAAATTTGCACCTTTACATAATCTCTCTTGATTCTTATTTTTTGAAACTATACTGCTTTTGGAGTGCTATTGCTGGATCAGTGATCAAACTGATTATTGATATCTGTAGATACTACTAGAGATGGTTACGTAAAACATAAATTAAAATAAATTAATTCTATTTCTGAAAGTTCACCAGAGTGACCTTGGTGTAATTCTAAAGTGTAATGAATATGACTTACTGCAAAAATATGCATTTCTTTACCCAGTTTTGAATATGTGATATATGTATGTATCCCATTACTTTATGGTGTTTCAACGGTCTCCTTAAAGCATAAATTTTTAATGAGATATGCATTTTCATACCTCCTTTGTAATCTCTAAAATTACCTTATTATTCATTTAAAATTAAAAAATTAAATTGAGCAGCAACTATTCATGTGATTTCTTTCAAAGCACAAAGCTTAAAATTTGCATCAAAATAAAAAAATCAAGACTGCTTAATTGAAACCTTGACATCATCAACCTCTTTAATTATGTGTTAAAGAGACTGGCATCCTGGGGCTACTAACTTAAAGTCAGTGTGCATTTTGAGTGTCTTTGGCATGTGCACACACACAAATCCCTGAAGGGAAAAAAGAGGGTTTTAATAGTAATAATTTAAAAATTTTTTGAACAGGAATCATTTCACACTTTCAAAGCAGAAAGAGGGCACATTTGACTTTTTAGAAGAATAATGCAGAATAGAACTGTAAGATAAAATGTTTCCCCTTTTTCCTATGTTCAACGAGTACTTTCTTTTAAAACCATATTTTTATAATAATTGTTACTTTGAAAACACAATTCTAAAGCTTGACTTCTGGTTGCTTGGATGCATTCTGCATAGACCATGCTGGGTAAATGGGGGAGGAGAGGGCTGTTTATTTCTCTCTTTTCCTTAAGTATATATATTTTGCAGTGAAATGACTGTTTTTCTTTACATCTTAATTCTTGTTGTCTTCACTGTTGTGTGCCCATTCCTAATTTCTTTCACTAATGTGGAACTCAGCAGCTCTTTGTTCTCATTGTGTCTGTCGTCTCCTTTTCTTTGTGTTGCAAGGATACTGCCACCAGCATCTGCCACTGAGCATGCGGAAAAATCCTTCAATAGGTTCTTTACTTAGGACTTTCAGTAGTATTATTCCACTTCTCCAGGTTTTAGTAATAACCAACATATCAAAAAGATAGACCAAAACTTGGAAAGGTGATGGGAGATACAGGTGGTCTGCCAGCCAGCAAGCAAGGCGGGGCTCCTGTTATCATGTGTATTCTCTAATTTTTGGAAACTCTCACCATGAAAGTTAAATGCAGAATACCCACCCTGTACCACAGAAGCCAGAGATGTAGGCTGACAACAGAGAAGACACAAGTGTTTCTGAACTGGAAGGCACAGCCAATTCTAAAACCAAGAGATACAATGTACTAAAACTTCCAGAGGGATGCAGTACATTTTCACAAAGATTGCTATGTGCAGTACATTGTCTCAAAGATTGGTATGTCCAGTCCCTGAGGAATGAATGACCTTCACTAGATAGTGTATTATCTGAGGATGAGAACCAGTGGTATGGAATTTCCTCATAATAAAATCTCAGGCTTTTCTCTGATTGTGTTAAACACTCACAATGTCAAGTCAACATTAAATGGATGAAGCCTGGATTCAATTCAACTGCTTTAAAAAGCATTTTGTTGGGGGGCGATGGGGGAAGCAATTTGCCTACGGTTTCCAAGGGCTAAGAAGTAGTTTTGCAGGTGAGATTAAAGGGTATTGGATAGAGTTCTGTGGTTTTCTGCTTTTTTGCACCATCAAGTCTGATTTTAATAGGTGGTGCATAACTTAACAGAGGGACCACTGTTCACTTTTGCTCATATTTCATCTTCTAACGATTTTTGCCTGGTTTGTTCCTACTTGTATGGCTAGCTCTTAGAATGCTGTCTGGAACACAGTTGGTGCTCAAAGATCTTTTATCTAATGAATGTATGGAGTCTGAAAAAAGCAACTCTTGTTTAATGACAAACATCGGTAGGAATAGTTCAAATTTGCCTATTGAAAAATAAGCTAAACACTTGGGTCTTTAGCAGGGGTCATTGTCCTAGTATTGGTGAAAAGGATTTCTTCCTTTTTCTCCTAGGCCTTTCCTCTCCCATCATTTTCTTTTGTATTAACAAATACTGCATTAATAGCAACCTCCTAAAGCCTCTCTGTTCTAATTTTGGGTTCTCGGGATAATGTTCTCCATCCTTTCGGTTTTCTATAGGTTTCTCTAGCTGTGGCCAATAAATACTGTTGTTAGGCCTTATGGTGCTCTTAGGCAAACCAAGCTCAGGCCCAGGACACAATCCTTCAGGGCAGGTACAGCAGTTGCTATGTAGAACCCCGCCCTGGCACGCTCTCTCCGCAGCAGCCTGAGGAAGTGCCCTTGGCGGGAAAACTAAGGCCAACTCCAATCCCGCACCTGGGGTTAGGTGGCATGGGTGGGTGCCGCGCGCCAGCCCAGGTCTGAGCTGCAGGCACCGCCCCTCGGAAGGGCCTGGCCCTAGGCTGGCCCTCCACCTAGCCCCGCCCCCCGCCCGTCCCCACCCCCGTCCTCCGCGCCCCTCCCCGCCCCGGGGCCGCGGCTAAAACCCGGAGCCTCGGCGGTGCCCAAGGGAGTGGAGGGACGCACTGAGCATGTGCGGAGCGGTTTGGCGGCGGCTGTCGCGGCCCGAGGCTGGGCCCGGGTGCTGATGCGCGCATCCCGCTCGGCCTCGGTCCCCTTGTGGTCGGCTCCCCGGGCCCGGGCGGCGGTAGAGGAGCCGTAGCCTCCTCGCAGCCTCCGGAGCCGGCGGGGCGCCGCGCACCCCCCGGGCACCCTTGGGGCCCACGATGATGGCGGAGCAGGTGAAATGCTCCTCGGCGGGGGGCGGCTCCGGAGCGGGCGCGGGCTCGGTGGTGAACGCGGAGCTGGAGGTGAAGAAGCTGCAGGAGCTCGTGCGCAAGCTGGAGAAGCAGAACGAGCAGCTGCGCAGCCGAGCGGCCAGCGCGGCCGCCGCCCCGCACCTGCTGCTCCTGCCGCCGCCGCCCTCCGCGCCGCCCCTCGCCGGCGCCTGCAGCCCCCTGGGCCCGCGGAGTCCCCCGGCCGCCGCCGCCGTCCCCGCCTCGGGGGGCCTGGGCCTCGGGCTGGCGCTGGGCACGGGGGGTGGCGGGAGCCCCAGCCCCGCGTTCCCCGGACCCTTCTGCCTGCCCAGCCCGGCGCCCTCCCTGCTCTGCAGCCTGGCGCAGTCCTCTGAGGCGCCCTTCGTTTACTTCAAGCCCGCGGCGGGCTTCTTCGGCTCGGGCGGCGGCGGGCCGGAGCCTGGGGGCGCGGGGACTCCGCCCGGGGACGCCGAAGCGCAGCCCTCGCCGCCCCCCACGCTGCTGGACGAGGTGGAGCCGCTGGACCTGGAGAGCTTGGCCGCCTGGCGGGACGAGGACGACTGCATTTGGTACTGAGCCGACCTCGGGGGCTGGGGAGAGCGGGGACCTCGCGGGTGCCAGAGAGCCCCCACCTGGGCCCTCCTGGAGGGGCCTAGCAGGTGCCTAGCCTGGCCAGGAGCCTGGGCTTTGCACAGAAGCAGAAAAACTGCTGATATCTCAGATTGGTCCAGCTGGGGACGGGGATGAACGGTCCCCTCCATCTGGCTAGGGTTCTACTCTTTGCTGATTATAGGGTCCCAGGCTCCTCGTTAGCACTGACTGCAAAATCTATGTCATCTTGTCCTGTCTCTCAGTCCTGTTCTTCCCAACACTTTTTTGGGGGTGGCGTGTATGTAACGGGAGTGGTAGCATTTGGCCCTCTTTTGAGTCTGTTACTGTTCTTTCCTTCCAAAAGGTGGTAGAACAGGGTTTGGGGTTTTGCCTCTCGGCATCCGAAGCCACCTAGTGATGGATCTCTTCTTAAGAGATTTCTTCCTTGCAGTTAAGTTGTGCTGTCGGATGCCCTCTTTCGCTGCATTTTCACTGATAATCATTTTTTTGGAGACTGACTTGCTTTAAATGTGTTGACTTCACTGGTTTTACAAACAGGAAAGGTGTCAAAAATGGAGGCCTTTTAGAGGAAATGGAGTGAGCAGGTTGAAGGCACTTTTAAAGCTAGGAACTTGCTTTAATATTTTAAAAATTAAGATGTAAACCGAATAAAAGTACAACTAGAGAAACTTGATTTTCTTATTTTTAGAAACTTTTTAAGTTGTTTAGTAGAACTTGGGACGGGTAGGATTTATTCAGTTGGAACCTGATTAGCTGTGTCTACTTTCCATGAATGAGTAATTTTTGGAGGAGGCAGGTTATCTAATACCTTTATTTGTCTTTCCTGCTGTTTGCAGATGGAGTAATAATCATTAAATATTCAGTGACTGACTCGTTGCTTTTGTATGTTTTCCTCCACTAGAGTGGGTATGAACAGAAAAGGTGGAAATTGGATTCTTTCAAGTGAACAGTCACTATTATATAGCAGTGGCATGAGTTATAGTCCTTTTATCTTGGGTTCTTTTATTTAGAACTTTTCCTAGTTTTTCATACTGGGCTTTCCTTACTTTTGTGTTCCTGTTGCATGATTGTGCAGGAGGCAAATTGCAGATGTAGAACCTTCCTGATTTCCTATTGGGAATTAAGGTTCCTTTTCCTTTACGTTCTTGTGCACTATTTGCTTTGATTAGAGAATTAAAATATATAGAACCATACTAAGCCTTTCAGAGACATATTCATCATGCATATTAATACTTTCTGGCAGCTGTGCAGGTAGCTCAATTTGTAAAACAAACAACTCAGCACTTCTGAAACTATAAGCCATTCTTTAGGAGCTAAGCCCCACCCTCCCTTTCTTTTTTTCTTTTGTAAAGCCCAAGCTACAGTAATCTCTTTTTCAACCTGAAAATGGTACTGGGAAATAGTCTTATGATGGTTCTTAGGTTTTCACTGGCAGCTATCAGCCCAGGGCCACTTTTCAGTTATTTTAGTGTGATTTGGTCCCTACTTGGCCATTTTTGATGATAATATACATAAACAATAGAAGGAAAATTGTATTTTTGATGAAAATATTGGAGATATCAGCATGTTCTTAACTTTTATTCTAATATTGTTATTTAATAGGTTTATTTGGCTAGTAATAGTATGTATATAGCTAATATAATTTAATATTTTCTTTTGAATGGACTTGTACTGTATCACAAGTTTGCTAGTATACTGATATCTTGATATTTGTCATTTATCTTTTTTTTTTTGGTCATTTATCTTTTGTTCAGATAGATTGACATAACTAATTTTTTTAAGAAACCACCAATGGGATTCACTATTTGCCATTCATATGATTTAAATTTAAATTGAAGCAGGTTCTATTAATTTCATTCATCAAGAATACAGGTGAATAAATCAGTGCTTTGATGCTTTACAAATGTTTCTATACACATGTGGCACACTGTTTATCAAGCATCTTCAAGATGAACGCAGGACTAGTTCCCAGGTGGAAAAATGAAGGATCATTAATCTTAGTGGCATGGACTTAAAAATTTTGAGGTCACTTAATGCACAGAAATTTTTTATCTTAGCATTTTATACATTAAGTTATTTTTATATTGCAACATTTTAGCATATTGATGAAAAAATCAATAGTGATTAATTTTTAAAGTGTGAGCCACTTGTTAGTGCTTGCACATAGCTCCAATGTACCTTCCTTTATTGCTGCATACCATACTGTTGCCATCCTGTGGTCTCATAATGCAGTATTTTTCATTTGGGTTCCCTGATATGTTTGCAAGATAGCATCTTGTTTTTATTATATGCATAGTAAGAAACAATTAAATTGAGTATAAAGTACCTAATTATTTTTAAAATATTTAAAATTGGAAGTGGGTATATTCATGAGTAAAATTCCATTTTTTTGTCCCTAGTCCATTACCATGACTTAGAATTAACTGTTACCACTGTAGGTTTTCAAAATAAAAATGCAGTTATGCAAATCAATATATAAATACATATATGTCAGGTTTTTAACACTTTTCAGGAATGTATCTTGGATATCTTTGTAAATGTAACTCCACCCCTCCTTATTTCAATTAGATCATTGTTAAAGTAACAATATTAAGGAACAAGTTAATGTTTGCTGTATCAGCTGTAGTTTTCATGCATTTTAATGAAATCCTAATGGGCTACATAAATTGGTATTTGATAATTTATTTAGAACACTACTTACTAGTAATAAAATGTCATGTTTTCAAGGAAAAAGTTTACAAATGTCGATTAGTCATTAAATTTTTAGAAGTTCTTTTGTATCAGTATATCTTCTCTAATATGAGCATATAATTCTTTTATTGACAACTTGGACAAAATTTGGCTTCAAATTATGGGTACAAGTAAAATCATAAGAGAACCAATATTTGTGTAGCAATAGTTCCTTAATGAATGATCAAGAAGACAGAGGGGGTCTAAAAAGAATTAAGATGTGTTCTGTACATGTACCAGCTCCTCATGTTGAATGTAATCATTATGTACTACAGACGTATATAATATTAATAAAAATTTAAAAAGAATAATCAGGTCTCTTAGGATGTTTTCTGAACAATTAGCTTGTAAGTGGTACAATATCTTAAAATTTAAGAATGGCATGGTCTCTATTTTGAAAAACTTTGAAACAGAATTTTCTCATTTCTTTAAATATTTAAATTAAATTTAAAGGGTTTAATTTTGCCGTAATACAACCTGGTTATCTTAGTACGATGTTGCTAGGATTAAAGTCTCAGAAAATTAAGGCTGACAAGAGTTCCAGAACCTTTATTCTTAAGTCCAGTTACTGTGGCTCCATTGAAGTTTACATCTTGCTGTACTGAGTCCTGCCACTAATCTGACATCTTATCTGACCATAGGCTAAAATGGGGCACTTCTGAGATTCAGAAGTAAATAAAAAGCTCAAAAGGACTAACATCTTGATGTATACATGGGATATGGTGTGAATGGATGATTTTCCAGTCTTTATGTAAGGAATGGTAAGGATCTGTATCTCTCAGTGTTACCAGGCTGAGAAGAACCTCACAGTACAAGCAAAGAGAGTCACGTTGATAGGAAGTGGCAATGGGAGCCATGAACTTTCTGTCATCTGATTCGGCTCCCTTATGTCAAAGTTAATTAAGTACAGAAGCTATGAGGTGAGATGACTTTTGTGAACTCTTTTAGTTGGTTACTAAAAGAGCTCAGACTACAATTCAGGTTGTGTACACAGATTCACAAGTGTTCACATTGACATTTTCTCTCAAACTGTGTTGTGATCCACTGGTGGGTTAGAGAGTCAATTTAATGTATTTACCATAGAAATACATTAGGGTGAAAAATTAAGAGTTCATTGTATCTTACAATACTATACTTGTCTTAATTAAACTTGTTTCAGTTCTCCATGTGTGTGACCTGAGTTGAAATATTAAATGCATTTGTGTGTAATGGTCACATTAGAAACACATCAGTTTATACTGTTTGAAAGCACAGTGGATTTGGAGAAACAGGTGGAAAAGCACAGATATCTGAAGATAGTGTAGCAGCACCTTGGTTGTAAGTCAAGTCCTGCATATCTCAATTAAAACAGATGTTTTCTACATAATAAAATGCCAAGGTAAAACATGCCAGCCTGTAGAAAATAGTCATATAAGGGAGCTTTATTTTAGTGGAGTGACAGTAGAATATTGAGACTTATATAAAGGGATTGTAGCAGAATTTAAAAATTGTTCAACTGGAAGGTCAAGAGAAAAGATGTTAATTATACAAGAGAAAATGATATGTACAAATTAAGGGAAATTTAATGATTGAGATATTCATCTTCCATGTGTAATACCAGGACCCCAGACAGCTGGCCCAAATCATTGCCAATTCTTCATCAAAGCTGTTGAACACCTTGCACTATACATATGGCACAGCTAAATTAGCCCACCTAAACTTTTTGTTTAATTGATTTTCAGTGAAAAGACCAGAGGGTGCTTCCCTTCCTGACAATGCTAATTGAAAATGCACAATGTCTTCCAGAAGCAAATGGAGTTGACTGAAGTGTATGAGAATGTGTGTTTTAAATGAGTAACCTTGAAGCAGTAGTGACAGACACTGAAATAGAAATTTAGAGCTAATGGGTGAAGTAGGAGGAGGTGCAGGGAAACTTTTCTATAGGAAAACATTTAGTTTAGCAAATAGTATAATTTGGACTTCACCTATCTTTTAAGTAATGGGGGGTGTTAAGTTTTGCTTCCCAGTTTGATACCAGCAGAAGCTAGGGAATCAAACATTGTTCATATGAGCAAAAGGTTGATCGCACTTATCAGTGGTAGTGTTTTAGACTTAAAATGTGTGGCAGCTGAAGGATCTTAAAATTATTTGACTGAAAGTAATCACGTAATAACTTTGTTTTGTTTTTGCTTTACCATTTGTTTTGTATTTTCAAAAGGATGATTTTAGAGCCAAATAAATATATTTT